CAAGTTGATCTCAGGAATTGAGACCAAAGTGGCCACAGCTAAAATCCTTTCTCCTGGCCTTAGATGGGCTTACTTGTTATTCTCATTGCTGGCTAGAGTAAATTATAGCAGTATTTCTGGGGAAGTAACTAATATTTTTCCTGGTAATATTTTTTTTAATTTATTGACTAACTTCTGGCTGCGCTGGGTTGTCGTTGCTGCATGCAGGCCTTCTCTAGTTGCGGTGAAGTGGGGCTGCTCTTGAGTTGCAGTGCTCAGGATTCTCATTGCACTGGCTTCTCTTCTTGGCAGAGCACAGGCTCTAGGGCACACAGGCTTCAGTAGTTGTGGCACCCAGGCTCCCTGTATGTGGGATCTTCCTAAACCAGGCGTCAAACCCATGTTCTCTGCCTTGGCAGGCAGATTCTCAACCACCAGATCACAGGGAAGTCCTGCTGGTACTCTTTGAAGAGTAATATTTACAATGTTTCAGAGCGTGTGGACTCTGAGCCAGACCACTTGGGTTTTAGTTAGTTTTCTACTGTTGCTGTAACAATCTACCACAAATTTAGGGGCTTGAACCATTACAGATAGATGATTATTTACCTCTGGATGTCAGAAGTCTGCAGTAGGTCTCATTGAGCTACAATCGAGATGTCTGTAGGACTGTGTTCCTTATGGAGGCTCTTGAGAAGAGTCCATTTTCTTGCCTTTTCCAGTTTCTAGAGTCTGCCTGCATTCTTTTCTTTTTTAAAAAAATATTGTTTATTAATTTACTTGACTGCTCCCAGTCTTAGTTGCAGCACATGGAATATTTAGTTTTGGCATGTGAAATCTAGTTCCCTGACGAGGGATCGAAGCCTGGACCCTGCATTTGGAAGGCAGAGTCTTAGCCACTAGACCTCCAAGGAAGTCCCTGCCTGCATTCTGTACTTCATGATCCCCTGCCACCTTCAAAGACACCAGGACAGTATCACTGTGACTTCCGCTTCCTCTCCCTCTCTCACTCTCCTGCCTCTCTCCTCTTTCCCCTCTGAGGTCTCCTGTGATTACATTGGGCCCACCCAGATAATTCAAGACAATCTTCCCATCTCAAGATCTTTAATGTAATCACACCTATCAAGTCCTTTTTGCCATGTGAAATGAAGTGAGGTGAAAGTCGCTCAGTCAAGTCCAACTCAGCGATCCCATGGCCTGTACAGTCCATGGAATTCTGCAGGTCAGAATACTGGAGTGGGTAGCCCATCCTTTGTCCAGCGGATCTTCCCAACCCAGAAATTGAACTGGGGTCTCCTGCTTTGCAGGCGGATTCTTTACCAACTCTGCTATCAGGGGAGCCCTTCTTGCCATGTGAGGTGTCATATTCAGGTTCCAGGAATTAGTACTTGAATGCACACCATTATTCTGCCTACTACAATTTGCTTCTGGACTCTTATCACTTTCTAATTGTGTGACCTTGAACAAGTTATTGTACCTCATGCTTAGTTTCTCCATCCTTAAAATGGGAACAATGATAACTCCCACTCCATAGGGTTGTTATAAGGATTCAGTTCAGTTCAGTTCAGTTCAGTCACTCAGTTGTCTGCGACTGCGACCCAAATTGAACCACAGCACGCCAGACCTCCCCGTCCATCACCAACTCCCAGAGTCCACCCAAACCCATGTCCATCGAGTCGGTGATGCCATCCAACCATCTCATCCTCTGTCGTCCCCTTCTCCTGCTCTCAATCTTTCCCAGCATCAGGGTCTCTTCAAATGAGTCAGCTCTTCGCATCATGTGGCCAAAGTATTGGAGTTTCAGCTTCAACATCAGTCCTTCCAATGAACACCCAGGACTGATCTTCTCTAAGGTGGACTGGTTGGATCTCCTTGCAGTCCAAGGGACTCTCAAGAGTCTTCTCCAACACCACAGTTCAAAAGCATCAATTCTTTGGCACTCGGCTTTCTTTATTGTCCAACTCTCACATCCATACATGACCACTGGAAAAACCATAGCCTTGACTAGACAGACCTTTGTTGGCAAAGCAATGTCTCTGCTTTTTAATATGCTGTCTAGGTTGGTCGTAACTTTCCTTCTAAGGAGAAAGGGTCTTTTAATTTCATGGCTGCAATCACCATCTGAAGTGATTTTGGAGCCCCAAAAAATAAAGTTTGACACTGCTTCCACTGTTTCCCCATCCATTTGCCTTGAAGTGATGGGACCAGATGCCTTGATCTTAGTTTTCTGAATGTTGGGCTTTAAGCCAACTTTTTCACTCTTTCACTTTCATCAAGAAGCTCTGTAGTTCTTCTTCACTTTCTGCCATAAAGGTGGTGTCATCTGCATATCTGAGGTTATTGATATTTCTCCCAGCAATCTTGATTCCAGCTTGTGCTTCATCCAGCCCAGCGTTTCTCATGATGTACTCCACATATAAGTTAAATAAGCAGGGTGACAATATATAGCCTTGATGTACTCCTTTTCCTATTTGGAATCAGTCTGTTCTATGTCCAGTTCTAACTGTTGCTTCCTGACCTGCATACAG